GGATCTCCAATACCAAAAGAAAGAAAGCAGGTAGGGGGTCAGTACAATGAGCCCAGTTGATACAATTATTTCCTTAGCCTCATAGTCCCATCACTCAAATCTGTCTGTTACCAATCAATGCTACCTCCCTACTTTAAACCTCTGATGGTCTCCTTTGCCTTAGAAAAAGCCCACAATTATTTATGTGACATGTGAGATCTGTATAATCCTTGCATCTTCTTACCTCTGCCTCATGCTGCCCTTCTGCTCTCATACCATTTCCAGGGACACTGGTCACCTTTCCATTCCTTGAAAGTTCCCCACTGTTTCATCTCTGAGACTTTAATGCAAGGCTCCTTCCCTATTCCATACTCTTCTACTCACTGTCCTGGCCCTGCTCCCCTTCCCCCACATGCCTGCCTAACCCTTGATTATCTTTCAGAGCCCAGCTTAAATATGGCCCCTCTGGGCTGGGGCTGTAGCTCAGCGGTAGAGCACCCACCTCACATGTGTGAGGCACTGGGTTCAATCCTCAGCACCACATAAAAAAAAAAAAAGATATTCTGTCCATCTACAATTTAAAAAAAAAAAAATCATCCCTCAAAGAAGCCTTCCCAAACCACCACACCCTCTCCCATCCCAACCTACCCACAAAATTTCCCCTGCTAAATGCCCTCATCGCACCTTCATTTCTCCACTGTGGCACTCAAGTGCTGCAATTTTATAAGTGTTTACTAACAATATCTCCTTTGGGTGGCAGCTCTGGTGGCTCAGTGCTGTGCCCAACTTTTTCACCACCAACTCTCAAGCCCTTCACAACATGCACTTCAATACATGTGTGCTTGATCTAAGTCAAGGAATTACCCTTCCATCAGAATTCTAATTATTATGAGTTTAATCTCCTCCCATTGTCTCTAACTACAGAGAAGCAGCTGAAGAGAACATTCTTTGATAGGAAATTACAAGATTTCAGTTGCAGAGCCCATTACCATTTTTTATCTCATCCTTTAAACGTATTCCCACATTCAAATATTTTGCTTGGAAAGTGCTCTCAGATCCACAGATCCTGGAGTGCATGCTTAATCTGCTAAATGAATCCTAACATTCATTCATTCTTTTCTTTATTCATTCAAAAATGGTTACTGAGCACCACCTGTACAAGGTTGAGCCTCATACTTGAAACTGCATCTTTATTATTCTCCCTCTATATGATTATTTCTCCCAAACCAGCTTTGTTTACCAATTATTCTACTTTTGCCATGAGATAACTGCTGTGTCACCACCCACAATCCATAAAAGTCCAATTTGAAGTAAAGAAACATTAGATTTTAGTAGTCCCTGCTGCTCCATCATGACCAGCTAAACACAAGATTCTTTAAGACCACCACCATCCCCCTCTTCCACCACCACGATGTAGCAGCCTGTTACTCCATCCTGAGATATAGGGGAGAACAACTTCAGGCCCACCCTCAACTCTCCCCTTCACCCTCCATACACAACAGGGGTCACCTCAACATTTCTTAATAACTTTTGGTCTGGCCAACTTTGTGAAAGCTGCTTGCCAAAGCACCAAAATGCAATCTTGTGTTGTGACTAGAAGTTTCAAAAACATAAGAAAAGGTGAATTAATCCATAGGATGAGTTTGGCACACTCACCAAAGAGAGCAGCTCTCATTGCTGATACTACCACATCCTTCTCCATTCTAGGCCCCACAAGAGTCCAACCTACTCTTTTGGATTCTGAGCTCATGGAGACAAGCTCTGTCTTCTCTTGGCATGCCAGAGGAGGAGTGGGGTCAGCAATGTGGCATTCTGCCTTTCCAGGGTTTCTATCTAGATTTCAAGGCATAAACATACTTAAAAATTACTTTGGAGACAACATTTTAAGCTGCCAGTTAAAGCTCTGGCAACTTTAGGAGACATTTTAAAGAGGTCAGCCTGACAATATCCAACTTCTTCACTTTGAAGCACAATCCATAAGGAACCTCAGGGTGATGGTAGGGCCAGAAAATAACAAGAGTCTTGATTTTGAACTGGATCTGATTCCTGGATCCACTTCTACTGATTGTGTGACTTTTGGTAAATCACTCAACCTTCTGTGCCTTGGTTTCCTTATCTGTCAGATGAGTGGTGTTATTTAATTTTGTGCTAGATTCCATCTTCTATTCTTAGTTTAATCTCATATCTAATGGTTACAGCTGGGGATCTCTTTGCTAACACCAGATACAGCTGTACAATTCTTAATTTCATTCTCTTATTTTCTATCTGCTTCAAGATCATAACTGTAGATTGAGTATTAAATAATATAACAAATATTAAAAAGGCAGAAGATAGAGGGTTTCATCTGATAAGTCTTATATCAGTTTTCCTGGTACCAAGTATGATACCAGGTTTATAGAGTCACAAAGTATAGAATATTTAATAAGAAAAAAAATAGGAGAAATGGAAACTAACATGTATACAGGAATAAAAGCATAACCATGATTCAAAATTATGCATAAAAATACTGGAAAGCTATACATCAAAATGGTAATCATGGTTAGCACTAGATTATAAAAGTATAATGACTTATTTTCCTTCCTTGTGCTTTTCTGAACCTTCCCAAAATTCTATAATTAATTAATAACTGTAACTACTTATTTATTTAGTATCCCTCATGGGTCAGACCCTGTAGTAAATACTTTACTTATTGCATTTAGCCCTCACACTCTAGGAGGTAGAGTATCCCCCCATCTTGTTCTCAATGAATATGTTCTAAGATCTCTAGTGGATGCCTGAGGCCACAGATAGAACCAAACATTTATATAGTATGGGGTTTTTTTTCCCCCATAGGTACATACCTATGATAAAGTTTAATTTATAAGTGAGATTCATTTAGAGATAAGCAAGCGTAACTTGCTATAGATTTTAGCAACTTCAGCATAGGATGCTTTTTTTTTTCCTTATTGAGAACTTTCATCCTTTCACTTAAAGAAATACTTTACAACTTCTCTTTGGCATATCCAAATTGTCAGCATCACTACTCATGTACTTAGAGCAATTCTCCGTAAAATAAGAGTGACCGCTATGCAAGCACTGTAGTACATCATGACACAAATCAAGAGGGTTACTAAATGTAGTTCATAGAGCATGGATATGGTGGATGAAGAGATGATTCACACCCTGGACTGGGAGGTGAGAGATTTCATCATGTTACACAGAGCACTGCAATTTAAAACTTACAAATTTATTGCTGGGATTTCCCATTCAATATTTTCTGGCTGCAATTGACTACAGGTATCTAAAACTCCAGAAAGTCATGAATAAGGGGGGACACTACTATATCTGCCAAGTATCCAACCTAGCCATCAAGTGATTAATTTCCCTCCCATCTCCCAGAAATTCAGGAGATAGCATTGTTTAAGTCATCAAATGTTAAAGAAATATTATCAGTTATCATTATCAACCTGTTCCTAGTTCTCTTAACCGGAAATGCCCCAGAAAAGTGACGATCACCCCTCTCTGTTTAAGAAACAAACTGTCACATTGTTGAAGATAAGCAGTACTTTAATACCATAATCTCTGCCATAACTGTGGGGACTCAACTCCCTGTTTGCCAGCCTCCCAACAGCATGGGCTGGCAGGGAGGGAAAGCAAGTCAGGAAGAGACATAGTCAATGTTAAGGAGGAAGTGACCCAGCTGTGGGCCTGGTTTTTGAGGTCAAGAATACAGTACTAGGATTCTAAAGGAATGAACAAGGCTAATTCCACCTGGTCTCAATGGAGCAAAACAAAAGAAAGTCTACACAGTGTCAATTCTTCAAGCCAGACAGAGCTGTAGAAGGAGTTCAGCCCAGCATCAAGCCCCCCCATGGTACATGACCCCTATAACAAGGCTAACCAAGAGATGGATGAGGAGCCACAATCTGCCACCCACAGGCTAAGGTTCAAGGAAGAACTCCATGTCTAGCAAGTGTCTGGGGTATGGGACAGCAAAAAGCCAGACAGAGCAAGTCACTCTGCAAGGGACAGACTGTACCTAACTCAGCCTCCAGTTCCTAGGGCACTACGTGGGTTTCAACAAAACAAATTCCAAATCCCACTTTCTGATGGAGGTAAAGTACTAATATGTTCCAGAATAGGGATAACAACGAATCTGGGAATTGCTGCTACCAAGGGAAGGCCAGTGGAAGAAAACCACCTTATATAGATGAAATCAGTAGACCCCAAAGACTAATCACATGGAGGACTTGACTCCCTCTACCTTAGTTGTCTCCCTCTAGAAGACATTATTTCATACCTGCAGGATCCTGAATTCAAATGATCTATTCATGAATTGTCATAGGTAAGACTCAAGCTCTGCCAAGTACAGACCTGCAGCAGACTGGGCCACCTGCAGCCAGCCAGGTGAGCAAGAGCACACCCACCCTCCCAGCCCGTGAACAGAATGTGGCTCTGCACCTCTCCTTGAGGAACTTCCCAAACACAGTTAAGCCCATTGTGTGTCATAAATACAAAATCAGAGCTAAAACATGCTCTGAAGAGGATCAAGAACACAAACAAAAATGGAAGGGATGAGAAAAGGACAAATGTTGCACATGCACATGGAATAGGTCAGAACCAGCACCCACAGCATCTCTCTCAAACTTGATGTTGATGGGTACAATTCATAAGCTGCCTTTTAACCTTGACCTATTTATAAACAGAAGAGCTTTCCTTGCCCAAAATCATCCTTTTCTCACAGCACATTCAGAAATATCTGCATCATTTACAGCCAGGTAGTGATACCAAAGCATATCCCATACTCTCTTCAGAAGGGACCTGCTACACAAGTCATAGTCAAACACCAGAATTTAGTGGGAAGACTAAAAACTCCTGAAAACTGGGGAGCTTGGTTAAATGATGGCACTGTAACCCACATGTGGAAGAGAAGAAACCAAGCAAGTCATCTTGCTTGGTTTACATTAGTACATCAGCAGTGCTTCACCACACATGCAAAATATAAGGATACAAAATACAGAATAGAAGGCATGGTACGTTACCCAAGAGCCCTGCTAAGGAGCGCATGTCCTTCTCCATCAGCATGTAAATCTCTTCCTCCGAGAAGCGGCCAATGCCATGGCCGTGCATCTCGCGCTTCACAATTCCTTTTGTTATGTGGCACACGACCCACCTCAGCAGGTTACTGAAGGGACCACCACCACTAAGAGAGAGCATCTTCCGGGTCTCATTGAGATTGTCCACCCACTGGCAATAAGCTAATGTCCTGGAATTGTGTGGAAACAGGTTACTACCGTGCATCAGACGCGTGTCAGCTCCAGAGAGTCGCTTCTGAATGAGTTGTTCAGAACTCGGCACACTCTGGAGGAACCAAATAATTGCAGCTTTTACAAAGAGCAATCTGCGTGGCAGATATTACAAGAGGCTCTAATACGGGCCTGTGAGAGAAAAGGTGAAAAATCCAGATGATATTCCAATCCCACCAAACCTCTCCGGGAACCTGCCCTCAGACCCTCTCGATATGCTTTCCCTTTCTCTTACATAGCCCCACAAAAAACAAAAAGAACCCCAACTCAAACTGTTTTAGTTAGGACGGTGAGTCTCCCTGGACACATGGCAGTGAGGACTCAGGGGCTGGCATCCTTCCTTCCTTTCTTGAGCACAATGACAGCTCTACAGGCACAGGCTTTGTGCTAAAAAAGCTGCATGGTGGGTTGGGGCTGTAGCTCAGGGGTAGAGCACCTGCCTCACACATGAGAGGCACTGAGTTCAATCCTCAGCACCACATAAAAATAAGTAAATAAAGATATTGTGTCCATCTACAACTAAAAAGAATATTTTTTTAAAAAAAAAGCTGCATGGTTCTGTTTCATACACTCCATTGTTTGCACTTTATATTTCATGATATAAAATTATTTTTTAAAAAAAGAAACCATTTTTGTCTTTTTTGCAGAGGATTAGTGAGTAGGTATACTTGTCCATGTTTATTATAAATTATAAATATTTTGGAAATGATTGGCTCTCCTAAAAACCAACTCTACACCTCAACTTGTTCTCAGGATTATAAAGTGAATAAAACTCCAAAGGAACTTGGTTGAGTCACTTTTCCCATCTGGGTGGTGCTCTTGGCAACCTCAGCATAGGGTGCACCTATATAACATGTACAGACAGTTAAATGGCTATTCACTGTTCATGAATCTCCTCAACTGCAATACCCAGGCCTTTGCCAAATTTGTTCTCCAAATCTTTGCAACTGAAAGAATGCTTTTAAAGCTAACGGTGCTGGTAGTTAGAAATTAAAAGGGTTTCCCACTGAAGACTGAGGAAAAGATAGCGGTAGGAGTGCAGGCATGAGACTCTAGTTTTTCCTCATACTGATAAAAAATGTAGTGAGAGTCATCTCTACTTCTAGTACAGGTCGATGCAGCAGTAATAAGCACTTCAAAAAAATCAGAAATGTGAACAACATTTTGGGGGGAACACAAGGGATGAGAGTCAATTGTTGCTGAAACAAAATGCTGTTTTCCACGTGAAGGGAGAAAAAAAAAGCAAAAACGAAAGACCCTGGAAGTTTGATCATCTTATACAGTTCTGTGCCTTTAGAGTTGTCTCCTCTTTACTTTTTTAAAAATATTTTTAGTTGTAGATGGACACAATACCTGTATTTTGTTTGTTTAGTTTTCTTATGTGGTGCTAGAAATCGAACCCAGTGTCTCACATGTGCTAGGCAAGCACTCTACCACTGAGCCACAACCCAGCCTGTCTCCTCTTTAAATATGAAAATAAGAAGTCCATTTCTCCAAAATACTGAAAAATTCCTGATTTTTACTGACTTTATAATCAATTTAACTGTAATCAAGTTTAACATTATGTGTTAAACACTCTTCTTTATTCCCTGGTTAAAATAATATGCACAGATCTTATTAGAAAGCTTCAGATACCTCTTTTTAGTAAGTCTCTCAGAGTATTTAGGAGTCATGAAACAGATTTTGCTGAAAATAGGAAAAAAAAGTACATCACAATGATCTAGGAAAAGCATTCATTGGATATCTCAGTATAATATATGTCACATTTGTTCTGCTAAATTCTGTATAAATATGAAAACTAAATGCTTTTCCACTTGCTCTTCTTTGTATACCTGTGGTAATTAAGAACCCTGGCTGCTTGATGACCTGTGAGAATTTCAGGAAGTGTGGGTGGGGCACAGGACGCAAATGAGGTAACTTGTGAGAGATGAGACTAGCAAGGATCAGATCATGACAGACCTGGTGAACTTCATCCCAAAGGCAAAGGTTAATTCCTGGAAAGTTTTTAACAGACAAGAAGCATAATCAGATGTGTGGCAATACTGGTAGGAAGGCTGGCTAGAAGACTGCGTCAAGACCAGGCAAAAATGATGCACTCACTGAGGCAGTGGCAGAGGGAATGGGTGGGAGAAATGCTGAGATAGAAGAGTCTATCAGTCACGAATTGTGTATAAGGAGAAACCAGGCATTTACTCCTAGGCTGGTTTGGGTGGATAATATCACCAACAGATACTGGATTACACAAGGGGGAACTGATTTGGGCAATGAAAGATGAGCTAACCAGGTGCATTTGAAAGTCCCATGGAACTCCCAAGAGAAGACATTCAGAAGGCTGAGAACTCAGGAGACAGGCTGAGACTCTAGATGGAAAATTGATGGTCAGGGGCAAGGTGATGGCAGTTTTAAAGCTGTGAGAAGAGGTGAGGTCACCTAAGGAAGTTTTTAGAGTGAAGAGTGTTATTGAGAAAACCATGGTTCAAGGGCAAGTTAGATGAGAAGGCCAGGCTGTAGGTGCAACTTGGAGAGAAGTAGGGAATCGCTCTGAGACGGAGGGAAAGAAGGTGTTATAAGGGATCAGGGGCTACTGAATGGTTCAGAGTTCCTGCTTGATGACTTCAGTTTTCTCTGTTGAGCAGGAAATGTGTACGAGGGCATGTGCAGAAAATGAAGACATAGCAATGGGTAGAGAGCAGCAGGTAGAGATAGGAGGGGCATGTTCTGGGCCACACGGTTCATCAGGGAGGAGGCACATTACTGCATAGATGTAAAGTTATCTCACTGCAGCAGGAGCTTGAATGTAAAACACAGAAGAAGGACAAATGAATTTATTCATAAGCCACCCAGTGTTATTCTGTTATGGCATTGCAAGTCGACCAAGACACTTCTGAAATACCTCCTGTTGCCTCTACACTTTGGCAAATGCTGACCCCTCTTTCTCAGGACATCCTAATCTTCCCCTTCCAGTCACTTCAGTGACTAAGACTAAGACTCTCTCATGACACCATCTCCTTTGGGAAGTCTTCCTCTTCTCTCCACCAGGTTCTCACTGGCTTCCCTCCGTTCTTCATACTGCCCCCTACAATGACCATTGCAGACCTATGGTGTCTGTCTCCCTTCAGCCTGTGAGCCACTTGAGGGTAGGGACATGGTGCCTGCTTACTGGTAGTCATTCATTTAGCTGGCTGAAGAATGAATTATTGATTGAATGAAAAAAGGCTTCACTCTGAGCCAACCATTGCTAAGTAGTGTTTCTAAGGGATGACACACACTTAAGCAGAAAAATGGAAAAAGGAGAGATGCCTACAGAGGGTGACAAAAGGACTGCCACTCTTATTCTGGGATTCGTGGCTCCTCCCTCTCTGCTGAGAAGGAGTCTACTGCACAGGGAATTATGAATTATTAACTGAAGAGGGCAGGAAGGGCCAATTTGGAAAGTAGATTAGGCTAAGCAATTAAAGTAATTTATCACTGGAAAGTCTATTTCAGGAAGTTGAGGTACTCACTTTCCTTATTGCAACAAATCTATCTGAGCTCTCATGCAAAAATGGGGTCAAAGAGTTTTGAAATATTATCTTAGAACATAAGAATAAAATCTGCTCATGTATTTTTAAAGGAGATTTTAAAAAACAAGCAAAGAAATGCTGATCCCTGATATTTTTAATGAAGATATCTCTCATCATAACTTAAAAGACACCAGATCCATGGCAGAAAAGAACATTGACGTGTGGAAAACTGCAACCTTGCAAACAACTGAGTCTCAGAACTTGGCCTTCCAAGTCATGAGAAAGCCCCTCTCTGTGTGGGCTACATCTTTGCTAACTTTGTCTTGTACTCTGAATATTTGCCAGAGGAGAAAGGAGCTTATGATATGTTTCTGTACTTTCACCAAGTTTCACAAGCATTAAATTGGGCCTTCCAAACAGGAGCCCTCCCTACAGCTAAAACTGAATGGCAATGAATGACAAGGGGAACATATTAATTGAGTTGCAGTCAGGGAGCCTGTCCTGGCTTTTAGAATAGACCTTCTTGGGTAAGTCATTTTAAGAAAGCACCCATCTCTCACAGTCACTGAAATTACATCAAAAGCTACATGGGGCTGGGATTTGGCTCAGTGGTAGAGCCCTTGCCTAGCATGTGAGAGGCCTGGATCCCCAACACCATAATAATAATAATAATAATAATAATAAGATTTAAAAATCTATAATATAATAGGGCTGGGAATGAAGATGTAGCTCAGTGGTAGTATCACTTGCCTAGGACATGCAAGGCTCTTGAGTTCAATCCCCAGTATTGGCAAAAAATTTTTAAAAAGTCCAAAGGTGTGACCCAATGATAAAGCACTTGCCTACCATGCATGAGTCCCTGAGTTTGATCCACAGCAATGCCCAAAAAGAAAAAAAAAAAACTTTAATCTCAAAATCTTTAATTTATGGCCAACCTAGAAGCAAATTTGAATTCATTTTTCTAATGCCTATATTAGCAGGGGTTATGACTATAGTGTCTAACAGTATAGCTCTCCCAGCACACTTCCCTATGGAGTTGGGAGAATCAAAAAACACTCACTAATGTCCACGAGGGGGCAGTATGTCACACTGAAGAAGCCATAGTGCTGCCTGAAACCAATTCTTTCCAGTAATTTGATGCCCTGTCTCTCCCACACTCCTTCATACCAGCTTCTCCATATTGGATCTAACTTAAGCATCCAGTAGGACAAAGGGGATATGAAAAAAACTGTCTTCTCCATCTTCAATAATAGCTTTTATAATGTAAGTGGGATGTAATTGTATAGATTTCAAATGCAAGCAAACATTTTATAGCTGAGTGTGCTTATTTGAACAGACTAAAACAGAGCTTCAGAATTATGTGATGTTACATAATAATGAGAGCTTTCCACTGCTTTTGCTGTCCAGAAAATTATACTTGATGTGAAGAATTTTTAAAGTTTCAGGCCAAAATAAAACATATCTGAAACCCCCAGATCACTCAATAACTGAATTAAACATAGTAGGCTTACTGCAGTTTCCTCTCCCATCTCTGAGTACATTAGAAACTAGGAGCTCAATGATCGTCAGAATTTAACAAGATCTCACAGAAAACCCATACTTGTAAGATTTTCCCCCATAATGAGGTCAGTTTCCTATGCTGGGCCCCAGTTTCCAGGGATGCACATTTTAGGTATGGCTGCTGGAACCAGAAGAGAAGGAGGAGAGGAGCCTAAGAATGTCAGAGGTTCTCTGCCTGAGGCATTTTAGGGGGACAGGGTGGGATTTAGAGCTCTTAGGAGTCTTTTCAAAATCTCCTCAGAGCAAGCTGTTGGCTAAAGGGTCAGGAACTTTCAGAAACAGAGAGCAGTGCTTTTCCTGCTGCTACTAGAGACTAAAGGGAATAGGAGGAGTGGGAATACAATTTTGAAAGGTCACTAGCTACCTGCATCTTAATCAAGACCCTCCCTCCAACCTTCACTATTTCTTCCTCCAATTAATCCTTAAATAGACACAAGAAAGCTATAAGAGCTATCCCCCGCAAAAAAAAAAAAAAAAAAGCATTTTGCTAATAACAAAGTGAATTAGAGAATGAAATCATCCTTAGAAGAGTCTACATATAGCCCAAGCAAATCTCCAAGCAAAGCACCTGGAAGTTTGATCCATAAAATTAAGATGCTTCTCTACCAGGGTACCACCTGTCAACTTCCCCACATTCGACCCACATCCACAGCCTGCCCTCCACATCCAGTATCAGCTGAGGGCTGGTGAAAAAAAAATGATAGTGAGGGAAGCCATCCATGAACTTCTACCAGGAAGCAAAGTTATATAAATGACACACACACAGAGAGCAAAAGGCAATGATGTGTGGGAGCTGGGAATTCTACTGAATCAAAAATTTTCTGACCGGAATACATATTTTCTGAGCTACCTAAAAATCTAAGTTGTAGCCAAAGTACCAGTTAAAGTGTAGGGCCTCAGTTCTTCAGGCAGCTGACAAGGTGACAGCACTCCACGTTAATGAGCACATCTATCAAATAAGGCATGGGTATCTTCTGGAGAGGCTTGTCAAAAAAAGATATGAGGGTCAGGGTAGCCCAAGGTAGGTTCTTCATTTCCCTTCATCACTGCAGAGCTGGATCAGGAGCATGGAAAGCCAGTGTGATGTGTTCTGTCCCACAAGTCTTTTTCTGGAAGCCAAGTGAGTCATACTTAGTCATGCATTTTGGTCCCCACTGTGACTCCTGCACAGGAAAGGGGAACCCTAGAAGTCCTCCATCAGCATTATAAGGAACAGAGCCAGGTTTCTTTCAGAACACTGAGTCTGATCTCTTCCACACTGACTTGTGCTCACCAACTCTCTAGATCCCTCCCTGCTCACCCTTCCTTCACCTCTGTAGTGAGCAGGGAGAGGATGTGGAGCTCAGATCAGCTCAGAACCAACTGAGCAAGAACCAAAAGGAAGAAAAGATGAGGAAAAATAGAGGGTCACTTCAAATCTGAGACCAGCAAGTTTTCCATTTAGAAAGAGGATAGAATAAATGAAACCTGGAGACAATGAGGAAGAATCCTCTATGATCGGCCCCATGTGGAGTGTATCTTTCAGGAGGAAAGAGGCGGTGGGTAAAATCTACTGGACCAGCCTCTGGCCCTGGAGTAACAAAGTAAAAAAAAAAAAAAAAAAAATGGGCTTAACAATTCTTAATTAAATCTACAGGAGAAGATAAAGTTTATAGAAATCAGGGAGAAATCTGTTCTCATCTATAGGGATGTAGAGAAAGACTCAGAAATGCCAGAAAATGAATGAAAGGAAAGGGCAAAGTCCCACATGACAAATGAGTTTGCAAAGCAAGAAGAGCCAGACTTGCCAGCTCAAAGCCATAAGAAGCAGAACAGGAGCAACTCGGGAGCACAACTGTGATGCTTCAAACTTGAGGAATACTAACTAGGAGCCAGGCTACCAGGGCAAAGTCACTGCATGCTCCACTTCTGGAACACAAGAGAACTCCTACTATCTAAGAAAAATTGACAGCAAACTCACAAAGGCTGTGTAATCTATTTCACCTAGGAATTCTTTCTCCATGTGCTCTTCCCTGCCTCTTCCAGGTATCTGAAGTGATTTTAATCCAGCAGTTTGTATTGATAAAGAACTCTGATCCCAAGCAAATGAAGTATCCCCTTCACCTCAGTGATCAAGGGCCAGCAAACTGCAGCTCATGGGCTACACAGTTTTTACATTTTTACATGGCTAGAAAAAAGTCAAAAGGAGAATAGGTTGTATTAAATGAAATTCAAGGTTCAATGTCCATAATAAAGTTTTACAGTCATGCTTACTCGGGGCATATTACCTATGGGAGCTTTTGCAATAAAAAGGCAGAGTTTCTGCAACAGAAACATGTGGCCTCGAAATCTAAAATACTTACTAGCTGGTCCTCTTCAGGAAATGTATAGGGACCCTATCTAGACACTGCTAAATATGTAACAGTCATGCCTTAGACCTTGAGTCTGTCTGATTTCTTATCCCAAACTGTTAACAGAAAACTTTTGAAAAGGTGGGAGGAATGGGAGGAATACCTGAAAAATTAAACAGAACTTGGGCATGCTCTGGAAGGATGGGATCGCGCCCACAGGGCACTCACCAATAGAAGTGCTCCTCCACCATCTTGGTCACCGCACGGGACACAGCTCTTTCATGAGGTCCAAGGTTTTTGTTCAAATTCACTCCAAGTTTCTCTTCCAGAAAGTCAATAATGAATTCTGTGCCAGAAACTTTTTCATGGTTATATTCAATCCAAGGCATTTTCCCTTGAGCAGAGAGTTTTCCACCAAAATAGTTCTAAATAGAGCGTATTTTAAAAGAGAGAAAAACAATGTTGTTATTTCAATTTCATTGTATGAGTAACAGAAACACGCAGTCCAATCTTATATGTGACAGTGACTGCGCTATTCAAGTGAATGAACTCTGAAGGTAAACTCCTAAAGACGATAAATGGTTACTATAGGGGAAAAAACTTTCTTAGCTCAAATTAAGATACCAATTTATTCCTGTATTTCTACAATAGACTGTTTCATGGGCTCTGGACTCTGGCTTAATGACAAAAAAAAAAAAAAAAAAGACCTGGCAGCAGAGTCAGGGAAGTGAGGATTTGAGACAGTGGAACTGATCCTGGTAATAGTCAGCCTAGCTCTAATGTATAAACTATTCCAAAAATGAAAAAAGTGAATATAAACCATGAGGAGGCTCATGTTGACAAGGTTACTAACCAAAAAAACTCATTTGAAATCCAGTGGCTTACACTTGAATAACATTTAACACCACTACACTGGAAACAAGTGGTGCCTAAATTGTACCCTTAAGTATGAAAAAGTGCTGCAACAGGTTCAAATACAGCAATACAGCATTTCCTAAAATGCAGGTTCCTGGGCCCCACCCAAACCTCTGGTTCAGAATGGCAGGGAGAGCACCCAGAAATCTGTGTGTCTGACAGGTTCCCCTTTGATTTGTATGCATGCTACAAGCTTACAGTGTTTCAGAGGATTTGATCCCAGAATGTGTGGGAGGTGGGAGCGACATACTTCATGTATGTTTAAAACTGCAAAGTGATATGCATTCTTTGCTGCATAAAAAGCAAAGATCTTAACATTGATGTAAAGGATTCTCTGTGGATGCCATGTCTTCAATCACTTTTCTTAATAAATCTAGATCATTAGGCCCCAGAGTTGACTATTTAAACTGAATCCATTTTGTTGAATTCTATACAGCCTAAATTAATCAGATTATTACAAACTCTTCCTCATAATTCATACAAATAGATAGTCCAAACACTATTGGATAATGGCCAATATTGGCTTTTAGGGGGAAACCAGTACTCTCCACACCACACTGTTGGTAGGAATGTCAAATGGTACAATGACTACTTTGAAACCATCTAACCATTTCTTTCAAAAGCTAATACAAACCATTTCACTCATAAACATTTACCCAAGAGAGAAGAAAATGTATGTCCATGCAAATGCTTATACACAAAAGTTAACAGAAGACTTATTTGAAATTATCAGAAACAGGAAAAAAAAACACTTCCCTTTGAGAGGTAAATGAATAAATAAATCTAACATATCCTTACAATGAATACTACTCAGTTTAAAAAAAAGAAAATTGATACAACATGGATGAATCTCAAAATAAGTTCTAAATGAAATTAGCCATATAAAAGTGCAGCACATACTGTAAGATTCCATTTTTAGAAAATACAAACTGATCTATAGTGATGGAAAGCCAAGCAGTGGTTACAGGAGACAATGAGGGATGAGAAAGAGCAAGAGGAAGGATTTCAGAAAGGCACAAGGACATTTTGGAGGACAATGAATACATGCAGCATCTTGATTGTGGTGAAAGTTTCATAAGTATCTATCTATGTCAAAATTTATCAAATTAGACACTGAAAATATGTGCCATGTGTTGCATGTCAATTATATCCCAGTAAAGTTGTAGCTTTTTTGTTTAAGAAGATATCATTAGGTAATTTTTTTTCAGCACTAGGGATTAAATATAAGGCCTTACATATGCTAGGCAAGCAATTTACCACTTAGCTACATCTTCAGCCCTTCTGATCTTATTTTGAGGCAGGGTCTCACTAAGTTTCACAGGCTGGCCTTAAACTTGCAATTCTCCTATCTCGGCTTCCTAAGTAGCTGGGATTACAGGTACGCACCACCACACCCAACAGCAAAATTTTTCTATAATGGGTAAGGTAATAAATATTTTGGGCAAACGGAATGGTCTTTACTACAATAACTCAACTTTTCACTTGAAGGAGGAGTGCAGCAATGGACAATACATAAGTGGATGAGCATGTCTAGTTCCAATAAAAAAGTATTGAGGATCCTGAAATTTGATTTTATATAATACAAAATATTTCTTAGATATATTTTAGTTGTATATAAACACAATGTCTTTATTTATTTTTATGTGGTGCTGAGGATCGAACCCAGTGTCTCATGCATGCGCCAGGCAAGCTCTCTACCACTGAGCTACACCTCCAGCCCTCAAAATATTCTTCTTTTGACCTTTTCTCAACTTTTTTAAAACATAGAAATTCTTCTTCACTCATAGACCCAATGGCCCACAGCCTTCATCTACCAACCCGTGTACTAAAGGTACTCCTCTACCCTTTATCCTAAAAAGAAACAAAATTAGAATTAAGAAACCATTGGATCAAGACCTAGATAAGAAAATACCTCTTTGCCAAGGTGTGTCATGACAGAAAAATCTATGAGGATCTATTCTAGAATACTGCTGGCCAAATCCCCCTTTTAGGCTTAAAGCTCCAAAACATGAAAAGAGATGAAAAAAGTTACTGTTTCTCAAGTGAAACCCTTGGGTTAGCAACGGTGACTACTGTTCAAGTTGTTCTTGCCTAAATCCCACCCAGATTTGTGTGTGCCTTTCCCAAAAGCCAAATAATACATCTAACCATAAGGGAGAAAAACTGCAAAACTTCTAGAACAAGTATCTTTGCATCTAAGAACTATGCTTCCTACATATTGTTTGTGGTATGTACTAAAGAACACCAGGTCACTGAAGACCTCAAGTGAGATAACAGGGTTGTGCCTGGATATCATGACCCTTAAGGGCAGTCACCCATCTGTGTTCACAGGACTAGGCTTGGGCTTGGGTCATGGGCTTCTCCATTGGCGAGTTAATACCACCTTCGTGGAAGGCTGAAAAGCACAGTGGGTGCCACCTAAATGCTGTTTACCACTGTCTTTGATAGGGACTAAAGGGAACTTTGGTCTCTTGACTCTTGATGTCTTGATACTTTATCTCACTACTCATTATAAAGAATGAAAAGTGGGCCTGGCCTAAAAACGGGTAGTAACTATTTAGGTTACTGTTAGCCATACTGCCTTTGTACAATTCAGAAAATGGAACCTCATCTGACTAAATGCAGTCCATGCCCAGGTTCACATCTTGGCAAGGAGAGAAGGCAGTAGGCGACCTACACAACCCCCATAATGCAGGCCTAGACATCATCCTTGATGCTAACAAGAAGAAATGTCAAATACTTCTAAAAGTTACTAGAACATCTGACATTCTTATAATCTGTATAATAAAGATGTAAATTTATCAAACAACAGAGTCTATGTTACATATTTCTCCTGATAGCATTCATGTCTTCCTAACACAGTCTTATCTAGATTTGTCATTCTCAGATGCTGTCTTCCACAATGTCATCTGAAAAAATTCTTTGTAATAAAAATGAGACATAAGAACCCTGCTTCTAAAAATTATCTAGTAGCTTTAGTAGTTCTAGTCTAACCTCCTTCATACTTTTGATGTGTGATCTAGACAGACACCACCTAGTTACTGCCCACTCCTCCCCAGCTTTTATGGATATCAATCCCCCTGGTCTCCTGATTCATCTGCTCACACCAGGCCAGATCACTTTGCACATCTTTATCTTTTACAGGAGTCCCAGTTCCCAACCTCTGCAAAGTCCAATCCATCCTACAATATCAGTTCAATGTCATCTTGCTAGTGAACAGTTTTCCCAAGATGCACCCATTATCTGCCCTCCCTTCAGGCTTCCACTGTGTGGTGTATACTCCACTCCCCTGCAAAACAACTGTTCCCACGTCTACCTCTACACCTCACTCTCCCCTGGGTCCTTGGTACATTGTTTATCTTGACTGCTTTCTAAAATTAGTACAGAGGAATAAAAATTAGTGATCAACTTTTATGGAAATGGAGGCTCTGGCATGTTTGCATAACCAGAAATGGTATTTTGCTTACTAGCTAAAGAGACAGTATAATTAATTCTATCTAAGCAAAAATTAGATGAATTAAAAAGAAGAAACTCACAAAAATGTCCAAAGTAATTGGCAAGACTATGCGTGAGATAAAGGTGATCATTTCTTTGCCATTCATTTCAGCTTTTTGGAGAGTGATTATATTACTTATAAGACAAAAAAAATTAAATAATGCTTATTTTTCCATAATTTCCTGAAATATATTAAGGAACTCCTGGCCTGTGGTTATTTATGAAATTCGAGTCTGACTAGTCCACTGAGGATAGTTTCTTAAAGTTGTTATTATTATTATTGTTATTATTATTATTATTATTATTATTATTACTACTACTACTACTACTGCTACTAATACTACCAGGGATTAAACCCAAGGGCACTTAACCACTGAGCCACATCCCAGCCCTTTTTTGTATTTTATTTAGAGACAAGATCTCACTGAGTTGCTTAGGGCCTCACTAAATTGCTGAGGCTGGCTTTGAATTCTGAGATCCTCCTGCCTCAGCCTCCTGAGTCACTAGGATTACAGGCATAAGCCCTGCTGAAAGTAATTCTTTTTCTTTTCCTTTTTTCCTTTTTTTTTTTTTTTTTTTTTGGTACCAGGGATTTAACTCAGGTGCACTCGACCACTGAGCCACATTCCCAGCCCTATTTTATATTTTATTTAGAATCAGGGTCTCACTGAGATGCTCAGCACCTCACCATTGCTGAGGTTGGCTCTGAAATTGTGATCCTCCTGTCTCAGCTTACAAAGTTGCTGGGATTACAGGTGGCGCGTGACCGGCATGAAAGTAATATTTTTGAAGTTGATGTTTCCTCCTACAAGTCTGCCCCAGGTAATAATGCAAATACATGTACACTACATTATTAGCTCAGCAGAAAAGCCATAGGCTTTGAATTTTGAAATCTGGTTCTATCATTTATTCATTGTTTGACCTTGGACCTCCCTGGGTCTCCCTTTATTCACTTTGGCCTCAATTTCCTCATCTACCGAGTGTGGATAACACTGTGAGGCTTGAATGAGAGAGTGCACATAAGGTGTTTGACAGAACACTTTCATCGGACATATTAACATCAGCATCATCGACACCATTTTGAGATGAAGAATTGAGACCCAAAGTGAGTTCTCAGAGTTGGGGCTCTAGCTTGCTATAAAAGCCCCAAACTTTTCAGCTAAATTGCTATCCACTTCATTCACTTTACCTAAAATGATCAGGAAATGATCTTTTATTTCAGTGACTAACTTCCAAATAATTTGAGCACCTTTGAAGGATTATATAACACATTGAAAAAATCCATGCATCCACTACACATTGTAGTTTTGTAGAAAAGAATGTGCTTATTTGGAGGAGCTGCATGCTAAAGTCTGCATGGTTAAATGCCATAATGTCTGCAATGTATTTGCAAATTAATTATTTTTAAAAAAGTTAACAAATGGAAGCATAAAGATAAATAAAGCAAAGGAAGCAATATGCTAGCCATCAGTGAGTTCAGGTAAAGGACCTGGGGTGCTCCCTCAAATATTCTTTTCACTTGTCTATAGCTTGAGAAAAAAATTCAAATCACAAAAATGGAGGGGAGAGACAAGATCAAGAAATAAATTAGAAATCAAAAGTTAGGGCTAAGGGCCAAGGCAGGGAGTCCCAAAGGGGAATTTTCTTTCTGCTTTCTCTTATTTAAGAAGAATTATTTTGTGAAATACATGCTTTTTATACAACCAGTTACATCAAACAAGGTAGGTGTTATTACATATGTCTAGACAAATGTACAGAAGGATAGTCAAAAAATATGTTATGGTAATCGCTAGCTAACAGAATGTCAGGTGCTTTTTGCTTACTGTTTAAAATTTTTTTTGTACTATTTGAAATTTAGACAAGGATCACATGCTATCTATATTCTATATGTAATTGGAAAAACAGTAAAGCTTCTTTCAGAGGGTTTTGTTTGTTTTTCATTTTGTTCTGCTTTGTTTTTGTTTTTGTTTTTTGCAAACCCAGGGTCTCATGCATGCTAGGCAAGTACTCTACAACTGCTCTACCCAGCTTTGGGATTTTTTTTTTAATTAACTGTATCTCCTAGTACATTTTTTGGCAACTTCCTGTGGGTCTATATACTAAATATTTTTTATATTAAAGTATCATTATTTATATCTTGATTTTTTTTAATAATATGTCCAATATATCAGGGGCTAAAAATAATCCTGTAATCTTATAATTTCCTACTGAAGGTCACCAAATATTCATTCCTTTCCCATTTAGATTACAAAAATTTTAAATCTTCAATTACAAAGTCTTGATCCTAGGAACAGGGCATTTTCATCTTTTTTTTTTTTTTTTTTTTTTTTAAACAAGAAAGAAAGGGGCAGAGGGTGGAGATCCCTGGCTCCAGGACAAAAACACCTTTGTACTGATCAGTCCCAGCAATGGGCTCTAGGGTACTTCCAGAGCATGACTGAGGTGCAACTGCAACCACAAACCCATGCTGACAGTATAGAGTGCTCAGGGAACCCTGGGCAGTCGCAGAGCATTCATTTCTACACCATACAACCATCTTCCTTTAGGCTCTGTCACCCAGGAACACTCTCCATTTATTTTCCCTAGATCCTCACAGAAGAAGAAAACAGCCCTTTTTTGATCCCCTTTTAAAGATATATTTAATAAATAATAATAATTTGGAAGGGATAAGCATGGCTCTTCTTAAAGACCCCTGTAATAGGAGTCAGACATCACAGCAGGGCATGTATCCTGCTGCTCCCTTCTGCTTATTAAAAGGAGCTACTCTCAAACAGGAACAAAGGAAGTCTGGCTGCAGGTAGAGACAGGTCTGTAATAGTCAGCACTTGAGGGTCTGAAGGAAAGAAAGGAATGGGCAGAACAGTCCACACAGCAAGATTACTTCATTAAGGGTGGGAGAAGGCAAAAGATCTTGAAAGTAGCCACTGGTGGCAGTATATAAAATCCACATTTTGGGCCCTAATTACCCAAAAGCTGTCACAACTAAGTGAAGTGATATAGTCAAGAGCAATGATGGAATGGACAGGGAGCTGCTGGATAGCAATCTCTTCCTTCAATTTACGTCCCGCAGTGACACATCCTCAAATGCTGACTGCCAGCACCAAGCTAAACAATGATCTTCCAAATATGAACCAATGCATTTAGATGATTCAAGCCTGGTCTGTTTTTAGTGCTATTTTCTCCTCCGTTGCTAGCTTCGTAAGTCCTGTTTACTCTTCTCTCTGCTTCTCTCTCCAGATTCGCCCCTTGCACCCACGTTCGAGTTAAAAGACCCTCTTTCTGTTTGTTCCTAGATGTCCCATTCCTTCCCTATCCCCTCATCTGAAGTCCTGATTCAATGCTACTCTACTTTGTTCCCAGAAGACTTCCATCACAGCACTTTTCAAGCTGAAAGTACGTCGATCACCTTGTTCTAGCACAGACTTAGAAGGATGCTGGCCCCATCCCCTTTTCTCTACTGGCTCAGTAAGTACAGACTATAGGAAGTCAGGAGTTAGAGGAGTGATATCCTTATGGGGATATCCTTATATCCCACCAGCTGGTCTGTTGCAACCTAAGGAGATTACCTCTTCCCAGTGCTGCCACTTTGTAAGAGCCTAAAGGTAAACCCCAGACCAGTGAGAGCCATTTGGATGACTGGCAACAAATCAAAAGGACCACAGTGTTTAGGGGATGCCAAAAGCTCACCTCCTTCAATCCAGCTCCTCAGGGGCACATAATATGTAGCCTGAATTTTAGCCCTTCCTAGGCAAGGAAGCTGGCATCCCTGGTGAAAGCTCTTAAACCAGAATAACTAGACATATGAAGGGTACCAATACTACAAGAGAAAGTTAACACACTAAATATGTATGGTGTGAAGCATTCCTGGAACAGTCTAAAAGCTTTTAATCAACACAGCTATCCCTCAAAGGGATAAAAGAAGAGATCAGTAAGAGACTAAAGTTGAAATCAACAGATAAGATAGATAGCACAATGGATACAAGAACAGAATAAAGCAGTGCAATAGAAGTTCAAAGAGAAGAATGCTCCTAGAGACAATCAGAGAAGAATTAAAGGATAGAGCATGAAGATACAGAAAACACAATTAGAGGTTCTAATATACAGACAATAGTGAACAGGAATGGAAGAGAGGACAATAAAGAAGCAGAAAAAGGAACATTTTTAAAAAATTGATCACTAATTCCCTAGAATTAAAAAGAGATGAAGGACTCAGATTAAACAAGTTTATAAAGGACAAAGAGTACACATAATGACCCACACCAAGATACATTATAGTGAAACTTAAGAATATTAAAATATTAAAAGGAATTCCAAGAGAATTTACAGAGAAAAAAAGAATGAGAGTGAAATCAAACAGTAACACCAATGTAAAAAAGACAATAGAGTAATCTTTTTAAAACATGGAAGGAGAAAAACTTTGAACATAGATGTGAGGCTGTAATAAAGATATTCTCAGGCTCTCAAAGCCACTGAAGGCTCAACACATAAAAACTCACTCTGAAAATATTCACCAAGGAAGTATTCAAATAAAAAGATGAACAAATTCTGTAGGATAAGATATGTGGGCAATAAGGCTAGTCAAATAACAGTAAAGTGTGTCGCCTAAGAATACCAAACAAAAACGGAAAAGATTGCCCAAATTTCAGAATTAAAATGTTAAACAGTAAGACAATTGGAAAGATAACTGGGGAAAAAAGGAGACCCAAAGTACATGCAAACTGCTAATGTATTTGTATTATTGCAGGGTAAATACAGACTTCAGTAATTTAACAAATAAACCCAATGTGGGTCTTAAGAGTGGTTACCTCAACAAAATAGAATTTTTTAAATGACAGGAAAAATAGTTTTTATCTATCCATTAGAATGCAGGAAATGAGAAAAAAAATTTAACAAAAAGGAAGTGTAGTAAGGAGGAAAATATTAAATAGGATGTTAGAAATAACTCCTAACAAAACAGATATTACAATAATTATAAACAGATTAACTGACCAATTAAAAGACTCAGATTGAATATAAATAATGTATTGCTTATGAGAAACAAATGCACAAAAAGATAGAGAAAGCCAAGCACAAAAGAAATCTGGAAAATCCATTTCAATATCTGACAATACAGAATTCAAATTTTTTAAAAATCCTGAGGGTAAACATGTTCAAGCAAATAGATATATAAAGAGCTCTATATCCACATAATATGTAGTTCCTTAATTATTTCACTATTTTTAAAAAGTAACCACACACTAGGCAAAAAACCTCAATAAATTCCAAAGAACCAATAATAATACAGACACTATCTTCTCTGACCATAAAATTAAAAACAATAACAAAAATCAAAGCTTAAAAAAATTCCTTAAGGCTAGAACTTTGATAAACATAAGGGGAATAAAACATAAGGGAAATCTTTTAAATACATAGGATTAAATGGCAATGAAAACATAACACGTAAATTTATGAAAAATGACTTAAGCATTGCTCAGGGAAATCTATGCCTTACATGCATCCTTTTGTTCATTCTTTTGTTCATTCTTAAATGCTGAAATAAGCAAGTGTTTCCCTGAAAACCACTTGAACAGAACATGGAAAAGCTCTCACGATGTACACAAATATCTATCTGGTGCCTACTGGGCCCTAGAGACACCAGATTCATGAGAGACAAAATTTAATGCTCTCGATAAATGGAAACCTAGAGGAGAAAAAACATCAGACAATGGCACACTCACCGTTATCAACCGCTGCCCAGGAGGCCTATTTGAACCATTAACCAAAGTATACGTAACGTTAAAGGAAAATATTATGGCCCTGAATCCCACAAAAGTTCATTCTTTTGATCCATCATGAAAACAGATGTCAAATCAACAGACCCTGCAATTAAGTATTTCTATCTTACTAAGGACAGGGCACCACTACTTTTAGACCCCACCTCCTCTGGCATCCACTACATGATATTAAACACTTTCCCTGCTGAGTGATGTCATGAGAATAAAACATATTTGCAAACAAGTACCTGATAGGGTAAGTCAGCCATCCTTAAATAAGTTTCCATTTTCAAACAGAAAGGAGATAAACTGGGGACACCATTGTTAGGTCTTGCAAACTGATGCAAAATAATAGCATCTTTGGAGTCAATCTCTTGCTGTTTCCTGTCAAAACCAAAACAGAAATAAAGAACAATCTGCATGTTATATGTTTAGTTCCCTTATTTCCTGAGAGGACCCTGCAGAGTTGCAGTCCTCGATGAACATGCAGAAGTGTTTACTGCAGGGGCTTACCTCACCCAGCACTTGGAGAACAGAAGTTTAGTCAAAGCCCAAGAAGCTCTTGCAAACTCTGATATTACCATGACCCCAGTGACTCAAAAAAGTAACTATAAATCAACCACCTCTGTTACTGGTAGCTAACGGGCAGGAAGCATATTTTCTGGGACGGGTCCATCTCTTCTCCAAGTGGCTATGTTTATTGCCAGGGAGAAGTTGAACAAAAATTTCTGTGCTGATGATGTGTCACATAGAGTTCTAGAGGTTTCACAGATATCATTTCATGTAATGTTCATAATAACTTTATGCAGTAGGTATTGTCATCATACATGTTCTTCAGATGAGAAAACTGGGGCACAGAGGATTACCTTGTTCAAAGTCAGAACCTGGACAGTACCAGGTAGTCAGCACCTATGTTCTTGGCCAGGCTAAACTATGAAACAGTGTCTTCATGGTTAAGGCTCAGGAATAACAGTGCAGATTTGTTCTGCTATGATGAAGTCTGCAGGGACTTTAAAACAGAACATTCTGGTCCCTCACCTGGCCTTCCACCTGAAGTGCTATGAAACCTGGCTTCTGGGTTGGCTCCCTTGCTCTCACTTTTTCTCTCTCTCCTCCACTCTCTGTACCTTCGCAGGGTACCCACTTTGGCCACACAGCTCACGTTTTAATGTCTCTGCTTTCTCCTTTCTCCTGTCTCAGACACATATCCAGCTCTTCCTTTTGTTCCTTTTTAAAGTGAGGACCTTCCTGGATAGTTTTTCAATAGCCACTGCATTGTACAACAAATGCTGGATTCCAAATCTGGACACCTGGGGTCAAGTTCAAGCCCTGATTCCTTTTGGCCATGTCACTCTAGGCCTCTGTACCTGCCTTTACCTGAAGAGTGAGGATAATACCAATTCTGTATTGATTATTGTGTAGACTAAATAAAGGAATACCTGTAAATATTTAGTGAGCTGTCAAAGATTAAATAAGAGTAGTGGAATGTATTATTATTATTCAAAGAGATATCCCCAGAGGTCTTATCTCCTTAAACTATAAAATCTTATCATTCCATACAGTCCTACTTATATAATATCCCCCCCCCAGAATCATTTGTAATTTCCATCTGTCATTCTACCTAGCCATTTTCCAGTCAGATAAACTTCCCTTTTCCCAAAATCCCTAAGATTTTGCCAGTTACATTCTACACCTACTTCTAACCAGACATCATCTTTGTTGTATCACACGGATGCTCACTTACTTCAGCCTCCCTGCTTTGTCAAACAAATTCTCTTGAAGAAATTTACCACCCAAGGGCCCATTCAACTTGAAGAGATCAGAATGATTCATTTAAAAAATATCAGTCAAGTCAGAAGAATAAAAAATATTTGCTATTTTTCTGGCAATATTCACTATAAAACTAAGGTTTTCATTTAAATGAAATATGTGGGAGGTCAGTTATTAAAATCAAGAACCCACTTAGACTATGTTCCTAGTCAGCACAAACTATAGTCTTGATACTTAACTGTTTGCAGCTTTCTAGGCCTTTCCTTATTTTTAATATTTATTTATTATTATTTTTTTTAGTTTTAGATGGACACAATATCTTTATTTCATTTTTATGTGGTGCTGAGGATCGAACCCAGTGCCTCACGCATGCCAGGAGAGCGCTACCACTTGAGCCACATCTGGAGCCCAAGGCCTTTCCTTTTTTATAGTGAATGCATTCAATTGTATGACTATAGAATAGTTTGCCCTTTCATTCACCTGTTGAAGGACATCCTAATTGTTTGTATATTTGGGAAATTATGAATAAAGCTGCAATAAACATTCAGTTGCAAAATCAAATTAACTGATTTTGTCCAGTAAAGTAACTTATATAGCAAAGTGATATTTTCAAATTAGTGAGGCAAAATTTTAAGAACTGAAAGGAAAGGAGATAAATATAAAACTCCCTGCTCCACGGGACAGAACATCTAATTCTAATGGTTAATTTGGAGCATGTCATAATAAGAATGGATGCACACAATATGCCAGTGATCTTATATATAGCACACGTGTTAAATTATTTAATTCTGACAATAACACTATATAGTGAATATTGTTATGGTTTAAATTTAGATCATACCATGCTTATATTTTACAGAAGACAAGGAAACTGGGCTGGGGATGTGGCTCAAGTGGTAGCGCGCTTGCCTGGCATCCGTGCGGCCCGGGTTCGATCCTCAGCACCACATACAAACAAAGATGTTGTATCCGCCGATAACTAAAAAATAAATATTAAAAAAAAAATTCTCTCACACTCTCTTAAAAAATAAATAAATAAATAAATTAAAAAAAAAAAAAAAAGAAGACAAGGAAACTAAAGCTCCAAGAAGTTAAATACCTTGTCCAAAAAACACCAATTTAAGATCACATCTGTAATAATTCCAGTTCGTAAGCATGTCAAAGATACCAAAATGGAAATTTTCTCAACTAATTTTACTAGCACAATCAATTTGATTTAGAACATGCAAACCATTTGCCCATAATAGCTCGTGATGGATAAGCTTTACTGAATGCCTACAAATGACAAACTCTCTTCTAAGCATTTCACATGGGATAACACATTAAATCAATTCTATGAGGAAGGCTACTATTATTATCCCCATTTTACAGATGAGAAACTATGTAATCAAGAGCTTACTACAAGGTACATGGTTGGCCAGAGGCAGAATTTAATTTAAACCCAGACAATCCAGGTCAAGATACCTGACCCTCATACATCAGAAACTTCTGTCTAGCTTAGAAGACCAGGTGGGTTGTTTCTTGTAGAGCTATATTTTAGGAAGTAGCCTTGTAATGAGGTGATAACACCTGAAAAACACCAACTAGTCACTCAAGCAGGAGAAAAGCTCCTACCTGTATGGCTAAGTATATCACAGATGACCATGCCTCTGAGCATGGCTGATGAGTGGGTTGTTCATTTGGAGAGATCAGATGATCCATGGGCTGCTTTGAACTTACTAAGTAAGTTTTCTAGTATAGGCAGAGCTAGAGCACCAAAAGTACAAATGAGCTACTAGTAATTAAGTCCTTACTTAATCATTCACTTTACAAACAACCAATTTCCAAATGTCTTAAACTTAAGATAGTTCTCAGATTAATTTCCACTCAGGAGAAACAGAGGGTTGGAACAATATATGGTGGTGGAAAAAAATATGAATAAAACCTCAAATGTCATCCCAGACAAGCACCCATCTCCCTACTAAAATATCTGCTTTGGTTATTCTCATTAACAAGCCTTCCTAAATAATTCTCACCTGTCACCTTATTTGCCACTCCAAGACATAGCTACAGGTCTAGGTAAAGTCTGTGCAGCAGAAAGTCTAAGCAGGGTGGGGAAGAATTTGCAGTTGCCAGTGAACACAGATAATGTAGTCATTTCAAGGTGTGTTTTCCATCCCATGTGTTTCAGATTTTGTTTTGTTTTGTTTCACCTGTGCTATACAGACAATTGAAGCTTGAATTTCACCTTAAGTGAAAGTCTCCAGCTTGTAACCTCTGAAGCCTCAGTCCTCAAGCCTCCTGTCTTCTAGGGCAGAGCCCTAGGAGCTGACAGGAAGTCGGGTCCCCACCACAGGTCTGAACAATGCCTTTCCTCAGCAATCCCTTGGTTCTCCACATTTCTCCTTCTATTCCTCCAACAAAACTTTTCAGAGTAGACACTTTCTAGGAGGCAGTATAAACAGCACAGTCTCCACTCATGGACACACATTCTCACTCTTGAATCCTACAGCTCTTACTATGTGATCTTGGGCAAGTTGCTTAACTTCCCTCAGTCGAAATTTCTTATCCATAAAATGGAGAACAAGCTTCAAAGCGACAGTCCTTAGGGATGAGTGCAATCACACACATGTACAGCACCCCCATACAGAGTCCCTACTAAGTTTTCATACATGGACAGCACTTTGTTATTACTTGTATCATGGCAGGGATTACCAAAATTATCTCAAACACTTGTCAAGAAATGAAAGTGAAAACTAAGGATTTAAAACTCCTTAATCCATGTATCTAGTGTTGGGCCTTGTGGTCCCTTAAATGGGGAAGGAAATGTCTGTGGGTAAAGGGCTCTGCAGAAGACAGGGACTACACCTGCTAGGGTGTGGCCTATTCCAAAGTGACCTCTGAGCTCCCCACTATTTCTGCAAGGTCATTTAAGTCATGTTTCCATTATCCCTGCGAAGCCTTCACTCCTCCCTCCCCAAACTGGAAAACTGTTCAGAAGCCACATGGTCCAGGACCTTCAAAGGTTTTAGATTGGAATATAATTAAGGAACAACTGATTACCACTTAAAATACTGCACAAATGTTCTTTATATGGTTTGAAACCTAACTTGAAATAGAGCTTCCAAAACTATCACAAATATGGAATAATCTAGGAAAATAATTCACTTTAAAAATATTTTTATGTGGTTCAACTAGATCCAATGCACTGGAGAAGAGAATTAAATGTGTAACATGCTTAAAATAAACTTCTCAATTCTCAGTTGTGGGTAGATAATGAAAGCCAACAAACACATTTTCCCAGACCTAAATAATTTCCCATCCTTTCAGACAGAGGAAACATTCAAGATAGAGTCAGGATGTCACGATGCCCTCCTGGAATCCCTGCAGGCCCATTAAAGGTCACCTGCCACTGTCTTTGTTATAATAACATCTTGTGCTGGATGTCCACCTAGAAAACCATGGTGTGGCCACATTTCTCCCTCTTCAGAATATACTGGCCAGGAGGGACATTCTGAGCTATTGAAAACTGCTCTGCTTCAGGTAATCTTCCAGGCTCAAATTGAAGCTGAAACTCATGAAAATTTTAAGCATAAATTGTTATTATCAATTAGCCAAAGCCTGTGTCAGAACCCTGTGCTATTACTCTATACCAACAAAGATCTCCTGTGACACTGGATGTACCAACAGCAGGGGTCTCCATTTTCCGGAATTTCCATGTCAATTCTGTAAACATTCTGCTGCAGCGGATGCAACTGTTTACAGCCCTGGGTGACTCCAGTGTTATGTCAAACACGCCCATGTGCTAGTCTTACCCTTGGATCTCCTACTGCTCACACAGTGACATTTAAGCTTGAAGATGGTGCTTAGCATTCAGTATCAGACAAGCAGATAACCAGGTTAAGACTGCATCAAAACTGCACACGACTACATTTAGCCATGCATCTCTAACCGGAACCCGCTGCTTTCTAGAGCTTTTGCAATTGCAGCTTCTTGAAGATGTTGACACTTAGGGAGGAATAGCATAGAACTAATCTTTTTAGTAATAGATGAGGTTAGCAGTTGGTATTCCAACATTATTAACTATGAAACCTATAAGGCATTTCACAAGAGTGCAACTTAGTATATCTACAAAGCCTAATTCTATTGATACAAATATCTTCTTAAGGATATTACTCAAGAGTATTTTGCTGTATAACAACTAGTAACCCATAGCATTTTTGCTTGTAGCACCGAAAGGCTGGGTGACAAATGTTCTTCCCTCCCGGCACCAGTTTAATTCAACTTAACTGCCCCTCAAAGCCAGGTGACCAGAGAGGACTTTCGGGGTAAAGTAAGGGCAGAACCCGCCTGGGCATTTGGGCGGCGTGACCGAGGGGCTGGCCACAGGACCCCCCTAGCGCAGGCCCTGCCCCGGCCAGGTGCCCCTCTCGGCGCCGGTGCGCGGGGCCCTCTCTCCGGCTCACCTAATGACCAGGAGTTCGTGGAGCAGATACGCAGCTGCGGCCAGCAAAGCTCCCCCGGTCAAGTAAAGGGTTTTCTTCCACCAGGGATCGGAGCCCAGCCCTGCCATGATCCCACCGTAATCCTGCAAAGGGAAAGCGATGATGTCCCCATAAAAGGAGAAGGGCTCCTCGGACCCGGCCCACCAGCCGAAGAAGGAGACGCTCTGGTTCCAGCTCAGATCCACCACGCACGGCCTGGACGAGGCAAAGCCAACCCCCCAGTGCATGCTGCGCGGCTGGCTCCGGGCGCCCCTCCCTGGGCCCGCGCCGCCCGCATGGGAAGGGGCCGGCACGGCCCGGCGCGGGCTCAGCTGAGCGCGGAGGGCGCGGGCGGCGCGGGCGGCGGAGACCGAGGAGACGGCGGAGGCTGAGGAGGAAGAGGAAGGGCGCAAGCCACCGGCGGCTGGCCTGGACGGCGAGGCCCCGGGGCCTTGAGCCTCAGCGGCGGCCGCCGGCTGCCCCAGTAGCGGCCTCTCCGCGCCGTTCTTTGTGTCGGCGCCTGGAGAAGGCCGCGTGATGTCATTGCTCCCCGGGGCAGGGAAACAGAGGCGGGATAGTCACCTACCCCGCGCCCTGCCCCCGCCCCGCATCTCCGCGGTCCGGCGGCCTCCGCCCGGGCCGGAGCTGCAGGGTTGGGGTGCGCCGGGCGGGCTCCGCGCCTCCAGGAGGCACGCCCAGGAACCGCTCTCCACGCGAGGGCAGGGGCTGCGGAGGTGGCTGAAAATGCGGCTCTACCGCCAGCAAGCTGTGGTCGGGCCTGGATCTCGGTCTCCCCCCTCCCTGACCCGTTCCCCGCCTTCGCTCCAGCCCCTCCCGCAAGTCCCGAGAGCGGGGAGTTCGCGGGACTCACCTGGGGCCGCGCGGAGATGCGGGCAGGAAACGCCACCAGGCGGGGTCTGGGGACGAGGGCCCGGATTAAGGTCGGGCATCAGATTGTGTGGCCGCCCGGAAAGTACTGTGTATTTGCATAGCTGATTTTAAAAATAAGAATTATCTAGGTCTTCGCAGTGTGTTTGACAAATGATAAAATGCACTTTAGGTGGAGAAATTTTCTGACAGACCCATCTTAAAAGTCTTAACACTTTAAAGCTTTATCAGGAAACTCACTGATATAGGTTTTGTCCCCCACCACACCCCTACTTCCCCATGCAGAAAATGTGTTCAATTATTTTTCCCTTTTTGAATTCATTTTTTTAAGTGTTCCTGAGTACAAAGAACAGGCCAAGTGTCATAGAGGTTGATGATATATACACAAATTCTAGCAAGAACATGGGTAGTTTAAAAATTTAGAGGAACTGAATAAAGGATTGAAGATGGGGGTTCATCACTCTTAAGGTGGAAGGTTGTATATAGGCAGAATCCAGGCTTTTGCCTGATGCAGCAAAGGCTGGGCTAAAAGGGCCCCACCCTTTCCTTTCTACTTCCTCCAATATACCAGCAAGGGCAGTCAAATTGTTAATAAAATGTGGGCACGTTGTAAGCCCCAAGTAGGTAAGATTGGAGAGACCATCCAGGCTGATGCCTAAACACCAGCCTTCAGGGTTCCAGTCATAACTGGGAATGAGGTAGAGGTAGTGTGTATAGTTGAAACTAAGCCTTCCTGAGCAAGTTGCAGAAGTGAAACCCAATGGAATGACTGAGGTAATCACCAGATTACCTTCTAGGGAGAGGGGCCAGAGAGCTGCAGGGCCTTATTTATAGGAAGTAGATGAGTTTGGGATCAGAGCTGAAATGCTCTGGGATAAGGAACAAAGAGGGCTGGAACCTCTCTGTGGTTCATCTGTGCCTTCTCCACTTTATGCTCAGCTTTTGCTCTCAGTAAATGTTGAATCCACATGTAAAGAAAATAAGTTTGATGTTTGGTACCAAATTATTTGCTTGAATCTCTAGGTCCAGCTATGGGAATGGCAATAAATTATCCTGAGTGCAGCAATATAAAGGGCAAAAAGGGACAATCAGAACTGTAAACACTGGGGCTCAGTGGTAAAGCACCTGCTCTGCATGTGTGAGGCACTGGGTTCGATCCTCAGCACCACCTAGAAATAAATAAAGATAACTGTGTGTTCATCTACAACTAAAAAAAAAAAAATTAAACAAACTGTTTTTTAAAAAACAAAACAACAACAACAAAAACGCAAACCCTATGTCCAGAAAAGAGAGATTAGAAACCAAACAAACTTTAAACACCTTGGTTGACCCCAAAGAATCACTTACTACAATTCACTCTCACAATTGCTTTGCTGGGCAAATCTGTCTCACCCACTCATGGAGGTGGGTTGGCTGACTGCTGCTTCCTGGAAATATTTACGTTCTTGTTAAACATTATCTGGTCTTTGACTCAAATATGGTTTAAATTTTCAGAGATTCACTGCAGTGAACATCTTGTCTAAGCAGGTATAGGTAAAGTAAAATCCCATGAGAGAAGCTAAAATATAATCTTAAACACTCTGATGGAGGTTAAATTTTAGCTATTAGGTCTATGACATAGCAGACAAAGATGATTATTTCTAGTGCTGTTTACGATGAAAGGAGGCAGAATAAACTCTGAGAAGTAAACACAGCTAAGAATTGGGCAAACATTTGGTATCAGAACATCAAAATGGGGAACACAGAATACAGGTACAGTTATGAGGCCCAGCTGCAGCTTGAGCCTCAGATCTTTCAAGTCAGACTCAGTCTCAAGGGAAAAGCTACTCTGTAGGAGTGTAATCCAGCCAGATACAGGAGAACCCAAAGTTCAAGGGCATCGGATGATGCTGATATAATGAACTTAGCAGAGGGGAACTAAGCAGAGCTAGGTTAACAAGAAATGCCGGGGAGATGACTCTTCAAAGAATGGCTCATGAGAAGTCCTGGTGGAAAGCCAAGTCCCAGGCTCTGCAGTTCAAGTGTGCTTCTGCTCACCTGCCCAGGCTCCACCAGCTAGTGAGATGGTATGAAGATTTCAGGAGCCAGAATGGGCATCTTTACTCCACTGCTACCACCACCACCACTGATTTTGACAGTCTTGGTGTCACAATTACAGACATTAGTTCCAAGTTAGAGGCCAAGTTTATTTATCAAGGACTTTTTAAAACCAACTTTGAGGTATTGAAAAGGGAAGAAACTAATTGAACACCTGCCTGTCTAGTCTAGTGATACGTATTTTGTTCAGTGATTTTCAAAACAAGAAAAATATTTTCATCCCAATTTTACAAATGAGAAAACTGAAGCCCGGGGGGCCAATTAAGTATCTCAATTTCCAGAGCTAGGTACTGATAGAGCCAAGATTTAAACTAAAGCATGTCTCACCTTGGGCCTTGTGGGCTTTCAATTATCTACATTGTCTCTCAGGCCAACCATTGAGAGCTGAAGCACTGTCCATGGTATTCCTTCCTTATGCTATCAGTCTGGGCCTTGATTTTAAAGTGTCTGAATTGAATGACTACAAAACTTCAAATGCCTATTAGTTATATTGTCATCTTTTGAGAAAGGCAGCTTCAGAAAATTTCTATTGCTATGCCTTGTGCATGTATCATGGATCTGCAGCCTTGCCATGACAATATCAAGGGACAACCAAATCAGTTTTCCAAATTTTAAAGTGCATGTGTATTGCTTGAAGCTCTACCATGGTAAGCAAACAAGTAACAATTAAATCAGTGTTGCTGAAACACTTGTGCATGAGGGAACTTGTTAACATGAAAATTCTGACTCAGTAGTTCTAGGATGGGGCCTGAGATTCTGCATGTTTAATCCACTTCCTGGTGATACCAGATCACATTTTGAGTAACCATTATCTATACTACTGGTTTATGAGGAAGATAAAGAACTCTGACAATGTTGGATGGCTCCTAGTTAATCCAATCAAGCCACCATGTTTTAAATTAGTTTGACTATCACATACAGATAAAAGGATTCAGACAGCAATAAACTAAGAAATAGAAAATGAACCAAGATGCTAAAAGAGCAGCTAAAACAGAGAGTAAAAGATATCTGATGCCCAAGTGTGAGGGGCTGAGGGAGGAAGTTATGGGGCAGGAGAGATGCAAGAAGGGAAGGGTAAAAGAAGGGAAGAGAGAGGGCGAACAATAGGTGACTCATCTAGCCTCTGTTTTCCTGCCTGGGCAATTAACGATATTGTGGCATATTTCTCAGGCACCAATACAAAGAGCATAAACAAATGAGCAACTACAAATTTAATTTATACTGGACAAATTTAATTTATACTAGAAAAAGTTTTCTCACAATGATGTTATACTTCATGTTTTTAAATATACCTTACAAGATTTAAGGCCCTGCTGCTGTGATAAGTGGATGTGATACTGGCACTATTTCTGGTTTTACAAAATGAAACTTGCCATGCTATTTTATTAAAATGTGTCTGCATTATTCAAAAATTAACAATTTAATTGATAATGTTGATCTTAATTTTACTGTAAAGCTTCTATTTTCTTGGTTTGATTTTGGGAGAAACGATTTAATATTGGTCCTGCACATGGAAGAGGTGGACCTTGAATCCCAAATCAACATTATAGCTGAGAAGCACTTTGTCACCATTAGGTAACTTGCTTATATACTTTCTGATTCACTGTAATTGAGTATTTTCTAAAGCATTAAGCAAGTCTCAGATGGTACGTCTTGCATATTAACTCAGTGCTGAGAAAAGTTGTGCAAATAATAACTGGATTCAAATGAGTGAGGGGCAAATAAGAAATGGGTGGTGAGAAGAGTTTAGGACATTTTGGGTTTGGGTAGTGTGTTAGTTTGCTACTGCAAAGAACAGAACCCTGATAAGACACATTTAAAGGATGACAAAGGAAGAGACACCCATCCAGGAAACAGAGGCAGGAGGGAACCCAGACAGGTGTTGGAGCTACAGAAGTCAAGGAAAGAGAGAGTTCCAAGAAAATGAAGGGTGGGATCAATAGTCATATGCTCCCCAAAAGCCAAGTAACATGACTTTATCCAGCAGAGCAGACATTACTGACCTAACAAAATACTTTATAAAGAAAAGTTACTTTGCTCTGTTTTGGAGGCTGAATGTCTGAACAGCCTCCGCTGGCAGATGAGAGGAACATATGCAGGAGAAAGGGATCACATTTTTCTGGAGGAAGCCAGAGAGTCAGGGATTGGGCTCAGGCTTTTATAACAACTTGTTCTTGCAAGAAATTACTCCAATAGGAAAGACAGTAGAATGAATCAGACATAACTTTCCTATGTTCATCTATGAATACACAGCCAGTGAAACTCCACAACATGTACAACCACAAGAATGGGATCCTAATTAAAACAAGTTGTGCTCCATGTATGTATAACATGTCA